AGGCTTCCTCTGGCTGCCAGGCTGCAGAAACTTCTTCACGGTAGGGAGGCTGCTGACTCTGCTTTTCAGGGCCTGCAATGCACAAGAGCACAGCTCAGCACGGAGCCAAGACCAGCACCATCACCAGCACAAGCCAGGGACCCCGAGACCCTCCCAGCCCAGGACCAGCCCAGGACCAGCTCGGGCCCCTCCGCCGGCACCAGGACGAGCCTGGACAGACACCCAGTGACACACGAGGATAACAGCGCAGTAGCATCTCCCCAGAGATGCCTCCTGGGGACAGGCATCACTCAGCTCCAGTCTCCCCGACTTCCTCCTACACGGAAGTCCTGCAGGTGAACCCTCTCGTGCAAGACGAGGAACTTAGTGTTTGTCAGAAATCAACCCAGGGGAAGGCTGCAAGATCTCAAGGCAGGAAAAGGAAGATCTGGGAAGGTAGGTCTGGGGCTGAAAACAGAAACTATAGCAGGTAAACCAGAGACAGTCAAGCAGTCTGTGCTCAGAGAGAGGGAGGGAGACGGGGAGAGGGAAAGCACGTGTGAGGGACAGAACAGGGGCTGCGGGGTCGGGGATGAGATGGTGGGGGACCCGCTCAGACAGACTCAGGTGAGGGGGAGGAGGACACCCCTGGGACACAGGGAAGCAGAGAGAAATGACAACAGAGACTGCGATGGAACAGACCCAGGCCTGGATTCTCCTTGTAAAAGGCCAGTCAATCTCCTTGGGGCAGTGTCCCCCTCCAGTGTCCCTGGTGTGACTTGATCTTCCCACGCCCCAGACCAGGGCTGGGGACCTACTTCTGGAGACCTGGGGGCAGCGAGGCCTGGACAGTGACGGGGACCATAACATCACCGCCCCAGAGCCCAGAGAGCAGCTGCGAGGAGGGGGAGGTGGGCCTGCCCGCCAAGGGCCAAGGGGGGAACCACCTTCAGCAGCGGGAAGCTGGCCAGAAGGCTGGGGTCCACCTCTTCCACGTAGTAGAGCAGCTCAACCAGGTGCACGTCAGCCCTGCTCAGCCGGTTGCCCACAAGGTAGTCCTGTCCGTGGCTCTTCAACACCTGGGAATTGAGGGGTCAGATCAGGGCACAGGGGCAGTCAGGCTGGTCCCCCCCGCCTCCCGTCTCCCCAGCCCCAGCTTCCCCGTCTGCTCCGCACTGGGGAGTGGGGTGTATCTTTCTAGGTACGTCTCATCCACCCCAGAAGCACTGCACACTCTCCTGACGGGCATCTGGTCTCGTGTCTCCCTGCACCTGGTACCCGAATACTTTCTGATGTGTTGCTTTCATCGCTCCTCTTGGACCAGAAGCCCTGCACCGTGTCCTGCAGGACCCCCCACTGCAGGTCTATGTGGCTCTCACAGCGCCCGCAGCCCAAGCTCTAAGTACACCCACGACATTCCATCCGTATCAAATTCCAGGTTGGGT